CGCCTGTTTTGTTCGCCACACGTCTTTTAATAAATGAATTTTCATTTCAGGATGCTCTAAAATTTCGCTCTTATAAATGTTAGGGACAATTTCTTTTGTCTGAATATTCAAACGTCCCTTCTTGTCACGTTTTCGGGGAGGAGACATCACTGAATAGGAAGCATGTCCGAAGGAAGCATTAGGAGAAATGTTCTCAGTTTCATCTGCTGTATCCGTAGACGACATGCTAACGTATAAAACATGCTATATGTGCACCGAATATGAACAGCAGCTGCCGGCGTCGGCGTGCCGGTATTACTCCGAGCCTGAGTTCTATCCTGTCGAATCCTGCACTTTTTCGTAGGTTTATGGTCGAATGACCAATATCTATTGCAATGATTAGGCGGCTGCCGCTTTGTCGCGCTGCAACATTGTTGTGCCAAGGCGTAAATGCACTACGAATAGGGTATAGCATAGGTATCATTTTAATAATGACAATGACAGAATTGTTCTATACATTCCAGGATATTCTGTATAAGTTTGAAGTTCTTGTACAGATTTGATAATCTTGATCGAGCATTTTTATGTAACCATGTTACACAATGATTCGAAGTTTTTTTAGTAGGCTGTGATGTCCCATCAATCTTAATCTCAGATATATTTTGTTACGCTTATGCAGCGTTATTTAAACAATGAATAAAATTACGTAGTAGGCCGTAGCTTCTAAAATCGTATCGTTTTACAGATTTCCCACCTGCATATCCGATATTTCTACGAACATAATAAATATTAATACTCAATGCGGGAAGAAGTAACAACAGCACCAGGCTCTACGTCTGTTGTAGGAGGGATAACAAGAGACAAACACATCAAGAGGGAGGTGTAATAAAATTGCAATAAAGCGAACGCCGTTGTCTTACACGACCGCGTTAAGAGACTTTGAGGGGAGCTGGAGTGACATTGTGATAGGAGTTACACCGGGTGGATCGATCTAGAAAAACTTCAACTGCTTATCAATTTTTTTCATAGTTTCTTTTAACTGAAGTGCTTCCACGATCATGTACTAATAATAATATTTATTGTCACAAAGTACAGGAACATCCTAAGTATCCTGCACAACAAATATGAAGTACTAAAAAAAGTTTTCTTGGGTTTGTTTAAGCTACAAGTACAATGAACACAATCTAATTAATTTGGTGCGCTGAATTAATACAGGAATGTCAGGAAAATATCCAGACAATTATAACTAAAGTAAAAGTATTATCACCCTCATCCCATATGGCTATCACGGATACTTTAATGGCGTATGTTCAAGATTTGTCTAGAATTCTTGTGCTTTTGGACTTCTCCAAGGTTTCTGAAACCATCAATCATGAATTGTTGTGTTCAAAGCTAGAGTACTATGGTTTTACTGATTCCTCACTGTTTTTGATATGTTGCTTCTTACTTAGACGCTCTCAGAAAGTCCATATTGATGATTCTTATCCGTAAAGCATAGATATTCTGTAGGAGGTGCCACAAGGGTCTATGCTTGGGTCCTTGCTATACATAATATTATACACAGCAGATATTTTAAGTGAAATACAAAATGTAAAAGTGCAAGTGTACGCTGACGACATTCAAGGGTGTTTTAGTTTTTTTGTAGGTAGAGCCTGCGTTTCTCTATCTATACTCAAACTCTAGTAAATAACGCATTCAGTTATCTGAAAATCATTTCTCGCAGTCGACAATTTCTAAGTAGAAAACTGAGAAAAGCATTGTGTGAGACTTTGGTGCTTAGCCATTTCAACTATTGTAGCTTTATTTATGGGCCGTGTTTGACTAGTGTTGATATAACAAAAACAAAACAACAGGTTCAAAATAGCTGCTATGGAAATAGACCCTATATCCCGCGTGCCCAGTGAGACTGGCTTAACCAATAGCTGTGTAACTTCAAGCATAAATTGGTCAGCAATTCAAATCCTCCAGGTCAAATTGAACATTCCATACCGTGCAGAGATGCTCAATCGTTTGAATGTTAGGTCAATATTGAACTACATACACAGTTTCTCAGCACAAGACCGCCACGTTCCTAAGATCATTCATATATAATGAGATCAGGATGACTCAGCTTCCACAAGCTTCTAAACATGAACAAGCTTAAGTTCAAATTAAAACGTTATTTGTTTGATATGCAGTAGGAACAATGATACTTTTTAAATTCAATTCTTTGTTATTTCTTCATTATTGTCTATAGATAGTTATAGGTGGATATAAAATTGGTTAGGTCTCTCTTACCATAAAATTTACTGCTCCTGCCGTTGTACATTCTGTATGGTAGTAAAAAGTTGAAAGTATAAATATTACATTCATTCAGTACATACATGATTCTTTGCGAATGTCTGCGTTGCTTAACTCTATCTGAAAAACTTCATTTACCATGTATTTCTTTGTCTACTTCATCTCTTTAGTTTGGTTC